AGCAGGCCAGGCCACCGGGAAATGTTCCGGTGCTCCCGATGGCCAGTCTGCCCCCCCCAGTACAATGCTCTGGTCGGTCGCCTTCCATCAATCAACCAATCGTGTGTCGTGTACAATCTTACGTTGAAAACCGCCGCAAGAGTGAGTCCACAAAAGTCGAACTGCAAAGTATCGAGGACTGTACACTCAATTTACAACAAATTTTTTAACACAAATAGCTAATCAGCCAGTTTAATGGCAGCAACGCAATATCTTTAGGCATGGAGATGTGAAGACAAATTTCTGAAGCTCAAACTGGACATCAGAACGGCAAAGAAAAAGGATTTAAGTGAATCTGAATGTGGTGAGGTCGTTGGTATTTCAGAAACTGCTGAGTTACTGGGAGTTTTAAACAAAAACATTTATAGGGTTTAAAGAGAAAGGCCCATAGTAAAGAGAACATATCCAGTGGCTGTTGGGTGGTCAGGCCTTGGTAATGTCACAGGACACTGGGCCGACTGGTTGGAGGAACAGTAGCTCAAAATACCACTTGTTACAAGCAAAGGTATGCAGAATACCATCTCTGAACAGAGGAAGACGACGCCAGGCGCCTGTTTCATCAGCTAATACAGAAAACTGAGGCTACAGTTCACACAGGCTAACCACTGGCCAATAAGGGGTGTGAAAAACACTGCCTGTTTGAAAAAGAACTGTAAACATTGGGAATGAAAATCCCAGAAGATCAGCAGTTTCTAAAATGCTCAGAAATGCCGGTCTGACACTTACAATCGCGTCATATCTGGAGCCATTTAAACCCCCTATTGTTCTGTTGCCCGGTTTAAACTTCAACAAGTCGTCTTTACGGCCTCAACACGCCCAAAGGCACCGAGTTCCTGCCGTGTGTGTGGCTGCTGTTTGTGTTAACAAGCAATTAAACAAGTAGACGTAATCAACTGGCCGTGAGTGTATTTAGGCTGTACCGATTAAAGAATTTAAGAGAACCGTACGGAAGTCATGAAGTCAAGAAAAAAGATTGGCGCAAACTATTTTTTTCCTTGAAAATCAGTGACTTCTAAAAAGATGAAAACATTAGGGGTCAAACCAAAATGCAATATAAACAATTTACAAAGTAATTAGAACTGGCATTAGATTACCGAGAACATCAATGTTGTTTTAATGGTAAATTTGACCGTGGTAAATCCAACGGTAGTTTAATGGATCCAACAATACTTTAACAGTAAACTTAACTGTAGTTTACCAGTTAATCTGACAACCATTTACTGGTTAATCAGATGTTTTTAAAATAGTAAATCTGACGCCATTTTAATTGTAAATCTGACAGTTTATTAGTTAGTCTGACATTAGTTTATCGGTTAATCTGACACTGGTTTAATGGTTAATTTGACATTAGTTTAATGGTAAATCTGACATTGGTTTGTTGGTTAATCTGACAGTGTAACGATTAATCTCAAATTAATTTAATTGTAAATCTGATATTTTAATGGTAAACGACATTAGCTTAACTACGATAATTTTGACACTAGTTTAACGGTAATTCTGACATTAATTTAACGGCTAATCTAACATTAGTGTAATGGTAAATCTGACATTAGTGTAATAGTAAATCTAATATTAGTTTATTGGTTATTCTGACATTAGTTTAACGATTAATCTCAAGTTAATTTAATTGTAAATCTGATATTTTAATGGTAAATGACATTTGTTTAACTACGATAATTTTGACACTAGTTTAACTGTAATTCTGACATTAATTTAACAGGTAATCTGACATTAGTTTAATGGGTAATCTAACAGTGTAATGGTAAATCTGACATTAGTGTAATAGTAAATCTAATATTAGTTTATTGGTTAATCTGATATTAGTTGAACGGTAAATCTGATATTAGTTTAATGGTAAATGACATTAGTTTAACTGTAATTTTGATATTAGTTTAACGGTTAATCTGACATTAATTGAAGGGTTAATTTGACATTGGTCAAACAGTAAATATAACATTAATTTGACAGTAAAATTGATTCTAGTTTAACAATGAATCACTTTAGTTTTATGGTAAATCTAAATAACGTTTAACAGTAAGTCAAACAGCTATTTTAAAGCTATTTTCCACCCTTTAAAACCCATAAAGAAAAAGAAATAAAGCTTTTTTTTTTTATATAAAGTCATGACAAAGTATTTTTGTGTTGAGAAGAATTTTTGTATTTGTGGCTCACAGAATTTTGTTTTGTTCTAAAATAAAAAAAAAAAAAACATCTAAAATCCTGCTTCCTGCGTTAAGTTTGTCCTTCAGGGCTTCTGTAGAATACTTTCTGACGTAGACCAACCAGTAGTTTCTGTTTATGCAGTTTATAATAACAACAGAACAGTCACTACTAATCTCTTTAAAATGTGTTGTCTGTTTTAAATGTATTTCCATAAAACATTTTGTTTGTGTGGCATGGGGTGGATTTATAGTCGAGGGCAAAGCCCCCCTCTGGACCCCACTTGAGGACACCCCTGCCACCCTCACCCTGTCAGCTGTTTTATTTTTCTGAGTCTTTTAAAAACTAAAGTGAACTTTGTTAATCCCGTCACAGCAGTTTAATGCGGGTTTAAGGACCAGACACACACGAAGCAGCAAACAGCACCCCCACTCGAGTCTTACCAGCTTTGGGGTGTATCTGGGTCCACTTTCCATGTAGTCCATCATCAGACCTCCAGTCTGGAACAAGTTTATTTAAAATAAAACCCAAAACTCCAGAGCTTTTACTCCTCTTGTCTGTCTGGGCTTCCGTAGAAGGCTGCTCTCCCACCTGCAGGCCCGAAGCTTCCCGAACAAATAAACCTTAAAAATTAAATAAAACCGAAAATAAAACTTATTTAAAACCTTTTTAAAACAGATCTCCGCTCGTTTCGAGGCGTTTCTGCTCAGACTGTGTTCACCTGTCGGGACTACACGACACCGCCGGACGGAAAAAACCCCTTTTCTTCCGGACCTGCAGGTTTCTGAGGGCGTGTCTCCTCCCACTGATACACCTGTACACACTTCCTGTTTACCTGACAGCCGAGAACAAACAATAAAAACAACTCTGTTTCGACAAATAAAAAGTAAACAGTACACACCATGAGACGGTTTAGTGCCTTGGATCAGAGTCCAGGTGAGTTTTGATGTGAAACACCACCTGCAGGTTTTATTCAACTCTTTTTATGTCGTCAGTTTTTTCGCTGCCTTTTCTCAGAATCAGTCACATGATCTTATCTTCATGAATATTATGAAACAAGTGACTCATTTTCCTGTGTCATCTTTTTTTTAAACTTCCGGAGACAGTTTCAGTAAAATAAATAAATAAATAAATAAAGTAAATTTGTACGCATCCTTTATG